CAAATTTTATACTCATCTTCATTTGCAATTTTTGATATAAAGCGGCCCGAAGCATTCCATTATCTCCCAGGGAGATAGTTGTTTCCAAGAAATTTAAAAGCGAAACCATTTTAATGAAAACGAAAGTTAGAGTTAAACTACTTTCGTTTTCAATGACAACAATAAAGTAAATTTTTTTGAAAAAAATGATTTTTTTTAACCATTTTCCTATGAACTATCGTAACTTTAAGGAAATATGAAAATGGTTACATGTAATTTTTTTATATTTTTCGACCTTTAAGTTCCAGAAGTTTTTCAAAAATCAATTTATATGTCTAATATTTAATCATTCACTTAATTTTTTTTTAAAGTTGCTTCCAAAAGTTCCAGAGGGCCTCTAGAGCCGAGAAGTCTACCCAATATACTAAATTGTATTTGCAACTCTGTCTCTCTTAACACTAAAATTCGAATAACAAACCTTTTTTGACAAGGCCGCTGTCTAAAGAAACACGTTGAGCGAGCTATTTATAGAGACGTCGGGTTCGAACCTCACCTCAAAATTTTCTAGCAAATGTTGTTAAATAAAATAAAAAAATTTTTAAAAAATTATCCTATGCATAGTTAACCTATGCATAGTTATTTTATTTTTTGATGTATTTTTTTTATTTTATTAATATATTTAAAAAAATCAAAAGCGGTCATGTTTTAATTTATTGGTTTTTATTTATTTATTTTTATTCAATATTTTTGTTTACAAAGTTTGTAATTTTTGTATGATTTCAAAGTTTGTCAATTTTTTTGTTAACTTTGCAATTTTTACAAATAAAATTTTGAATGTAACACCTATACAAAGTCGTGGTTAGGCGCCCCTCTTCTTACATTTTAATTTGAGTGGCCTTGCATTTTTATAAAAATTTAGAAGGATATTTTTTAGTTTTTATTTTAATTTTTTTGATAAAATAACTTAATTTACATTACTACTAATAATAAAACTTTTTTATTTTCATAACTATTTTAACTAAGCATTAACAAAAATATGTTTTACACAGAAACCTAATTTTTTATAAAACGCAAACTTTAGAAAATAACATCTGCTATACGTGAAACAATTAAAAATTATATCAAGTGGAAAAATACGTTTTTAAAGAAGCGGCTTATCTTAAGATTACAGACTAATGTATTATTGTTTTAAAATTTTTTAAGCCTAGATGCTATATATATAAAAAAAGCGGAAACCTTTTGGTCTAATTTTTGACAGATGTCTCTGGTATGCCTTTTCTTTTTTTTTTGTTTGTTTTTGTCTTTTTTTCTTTTATTTAGTGATCGAAAAAAAAATAATAATAATACAATAAATCTATTTATAGTTTGATGAAGAGGTACTACACCAAGTCCCTTTATGTTGACGAAAGTAAAAACAAAGACGTTAAAGACAAACCAGCAATCTCTAAATGTGATTTTGCTCGATTAGGTCTGCTCTCGATAAGATCTGCTCTTTTCCGGCGTTCTTAAAGTGTTGTTAGACCGAGCTGTTAAAATCGATTTTCATAGCACAAATGTTTAATAGATGATATTGTTTTTGTTGTTTGTTGTTGGTCTTGCTCAAGGTGGAAATGTCGGACTTTAAATATGGCGACCATTTAAAGGCTTGCACAGCAAACTCAAGGTGGGGACGAATGTAAATGAGATATAGTGTACGCTATAAATAAAAAATGCAATTATAAAATGTTTTTTTAAGTTACCTTATCATTCTATTCGCTATTAATGTAGCTGACTCTACTTGTGCAGAGTGGGCCAGGTGGTGGAAAAAAGTATAAAAAAATATTCTCAAAAATGACATTATTATATACCATTTTATAGCTTAAACATCCGGCTTTTATAAAATCATAATCAATAGAAGTTATACCAATAGAAGGTATAACTTCTATTGGCTATGATAAAATGTATATATTTCTGTGTAACTATTATGCCGTTTGCATTTTAAGCTGTTAATAAAAAAAGTATTTTTTTTTTCAAGTTTTTTTTTGTTGTTGTTTTTTAATTTAATAACATTTTTCGCGTTAGTAATAAGCATAAAATTGGTATTAATTATTAAAACTTAATAAAACTAAGTATTATCTATCAAATGAGCTATTGCAAAATTATTTTGCACGTAAGCTATGTCAAATAAACTGATTTCTAATGATGGCGTATTTAAAGCACTTTTTTTAGTGAAAATTTCACTTAAATAATGAAATACTTTTGCGCTCCAAGGTGCTCAAGAAATTTGAGACTTAAAATATCTTGCCCAATATGTACATTATTGATATATATTTTACCTATTGTCGGCGGGTGTCAGCTGCGTCTCTATTAATGATTTTTACAAGTTTCATCTTTAGGGCAGGGGGCCAACATTCTGGCTTTTCTTTGTGTTCCCAGGCTCCAATCATCGCAATATTTTAGCAAATCATATTTTTATCACATTAAAATAAACATATAAATATTTGGAGTTTGTTTTATCTCCAAATGTCTCATAAAAATTATATTTTTTGTATTTGTAGGCTGAAAATGAAATATTTTGATATCTATGCATTCATTATGCATATGTCTAATAATCTACAAATATCTGACTCTGACATTGTGGATAAACTTATTGATGCTATGAATTTGGATTGCAACAAGCAGCAATTAGGAACTATAATAACGCATCTACGAGATAAGTGGTAGTGGTGTAGTGGTAGAGCGCTCGCTTCTTAAACGAGTGGTTCCGAGTTCGATCCCCACCACGTCCCTGGTATTACCGCGCTCAACTCGTTTCTCCGCGCAGCGGCCTTGTTCGTCAAGGTTCGTGTTTCGGAGTTATAGAGTTGAGAGAGGGTTATAGCCACAAAATAAGCAGCCTCCTCGTCTGTAGTTGCCTTCTCGGCCTTGAGGAGGTGAAGTAAAATAAAATTAAAAAAAAAAAAAGTGGCGCAAGTCATATTGCAGCATAGATCGATTTGAAGAAAAGAACAAAAAATGGCTGCAAAGCCATGTTCCTGAAGATTTAACTGTAACACCAATATCTATTGGAAGACCAAATAAGACAAACTTTAATGACTACTCTACTTAATCCAAAAAACATAAAGTCACTTAACTGAAATGTATTCTGTTTCTGCGTTACAATTTGCTTCAGAAATTAAACGGAGAAAAGAAAACCTAACTGAAAAAACCTCAAAAAAAGATTGTAGAATGTCTAAAGATAAAAGAGAAAAGCTCTTTGTCTTCTTTTAGATGCTAGATTGACAAAAGCTTCCTACCAAACTATTCGAAATCAAGCAGTTGAAAAGGGAGTTGATATATATCCTCCATTTAATGATGTTCGGGATAAAAAGCTGTTATGTTATCCTGCAGACATATCTGTCTCAGACACGGCGGTCTATGAGTAACAGGCCGTGACACGCAAAACTTAGAAAAAAATGTGGGGGCCGATATTTCAAAAATCATTATGATAATTGTTTAAAAACAAAATATGTTGCTCCCGTTATATAAAGCATTAAACTGTGTAAAAATTTGTACAATTTAGAAATCTTTTTAAGTTTTTGTCAATAAACTTTATTTAATTGTTTCAATTCATATTTAGAAATCTTTTTAAGTTTTTGTCAATAAACTTTATTTAATTGTTTCAATTCATATTTAGAAATCTTTTTAAGTTTTTGTCAATAAACTTTATTTAATTGTTTCAACTTTATTTAATTGTTTTAATTCATGCTTAAATAATGAAATAAAAAAGTTTTATATCAGGTAAAAAACAAAAGTTAAATAAATTACTGTTCGGGTAACTGCACCGTTAAATAGGAATATATTTTAGTGATTTAAATAAATAAGGAATACTTTTAAAATCATAAAACAGAAACTTTAAATCAATTAATAAATTTCAATAAAGAAATAACAGCATAAGTGTCAATAAATAACTGTCAACTTAACAAGACAACTTTAAAATTTTCAGAGAGTTCTTTGTTTGATCTTAGTGTGGAAAGTTTGCAGTGGTTTTTAGTAAAAATATTTGACAGTATATTACCATGATGTCGTTCCATGTCAAAAGAATAATGATCCGATATAAGCATAAAGGTGTTGCACAGGGATGTCCGACAAACTTTATCTTTAATAGAGTTAAATAGTACAAATGAGAAAATAACCCATTGAACAGTATTATCAAAAGGAACTTTTAACCCACCTCTATCGACTGATTTTAGATATTAACCAAACTTTTCAAAATAAAACATATAAACATAAAACAATATAAACAAGAGACATCTTTTATTGAACAGTTATATTTTTTCTAGTGTTGGTAAATTATCAAAGACCTCAGCTAAAGATTCATCAAGTAAAAATCCACAAAATTGGCAAGAATGTCCTGCATTAGGAGTTGACTCATTAATGTTATATGACAACAAAAGTGAAGTTTTAGAAATATTGAACTTTTAAATTATTTGTTGGACACTTAAAAAATATGTGCCACCAGATCCTTGTCTTAACTTGCTGAATTCTTTTTCAAGTGGGTCTGTTGTAAACTTTCCCAACATAAAATATTTGTGTTTTTCTTTTAATAGTGTTTTTGTCAACTCAACAATTCCTTTTCATGTATGATTTATGGAATATCCTGTATCATGTGTTAATTGTTTTATACGCTTCCCTTGATTACTTGTCATACGTAATGCCATTTCTCCGAAATCCCAAATAAATTTTAATCTATCATCATTTGGATCTCTGATGACAGCTTGTCGATCATCATTAAACCTACAATCTACACCCACATTTTTTACATTTAAAATTTTCCACCATGTAACAACCATTTAATAAAATCAGCAGTCTCATTTATGTTTAAGATGTTGGAGGTTTCAGGATGATTAAGTAAAGCGCTGTATGTTTTTTCAGAAAACACTTTTAGACAGGTAGAAACAGATTGTCTTTCAATATGACTGGGTCGAACAGAAACTTCATTCAAATCAGAAAGTTTCATTAGTTAATTAGAATCAGCTTCAAAAAGTTTTATTAAATGACTC